CTACCTATCCATCCACGCTCTCTCTCTCTCTCCATCCTCTATCTACCCATCATGTACCATCCATCCATCATCCATCCATCGGTTTCTCTCTATCTGCCTATTCTGTCCGGCTGTCATCATGTCGATCGGTAAGAAATAATGAATATAAAGAATTCCAGGGTCTTCAGGGCTGAGCAAGGAGCACACGAGCCGGGCTGGTCTCGTGAGAGGCTGAGCAATGGCCCACGCTCAGACCCTGGGGCCAGGGCTCACGGGCTGAGATCCGCCAATCAAAGGGGGCCCTCACGTGGGCACTTCCAGGAGAGGCTGGCGTCCTCTGGAGAATCGGCTACCTCCTCCGGAAGCCCCGCCCCCTCCCGAGGCTGCTCTGCCGGCCCCTCCCTGGAGGACCTCTCTCGGGCCCCGCCTCTTTTTTCCTCCACACGGTCACGTGGGCTCCCACAGTCCTCCAGAAGAGAAGCATTGCGCATGCTCTGGGCAAACGGTTTCCCTCTTCCCATTAGCTGGACTCCATTTCCCAGGAGGCCGTGCGGGGTCAGGTACCGTAGATCTCACGGCACTGTGGGAGTGGTCATTGAGTACTTTTCAGCGCGCTTGCGCAATTTCTCCTTGGCCCAGGAGTTTCAGGGAGCGCGGATGGCCGAGGGGCGCGTGCCCGGCGGCGCACGCGCGTCCATGTGCGCGTGCGCGCGCTCCCGGGTCTGGAGGTGCGTCTTGGGTTTGGGTCTCTTTCTTTGGGAGTTTTAGGGCGACTCTCGGGTTCTCTCTGTCTGCCTTTGGGGCTCTGTCTCTCTGTCTCTGCGAGAGATCTGTCTCTGGGTCTGTCTCTACCGACAGCTGTGGCCAACAGAGCTCCTACTGTGTGCTCAGAGGGATCCTCACAAACAGCCCTGGGAGGGAGGGGCAGTTATCCCCATTTTACAGATGAGGAAACTGAGGCAGGCAAAAGGAGGGAAGTGACTTACCCAGGGTCATACAGCTAGTGCGTGCCTGAGGCTGGATTTGAACTAAGGGCTTCTGGATGTTAGGCCCAGCCATCTATCCACTGTGTCTCCGTCTTTGTGTCTTTCTGTCCTTGGGTTCTATCTCCCTCCCTCTCTATCTCTTTGTCTGTGTGTGTCTCTGTCTCCTGTCTATCTTTCTCTCTGTCTCTGTCTCTCTGCCTCTCTCCTCCCTGTCTCTCTGTCTCTGTCTCTCTCTCTGTCTCTCAGTCTCTCTCCCTCTCTCTATCTCTGTCTCTCTCTGTGTCTCTCTCTTCCCTGTCCCTCTCTCCTCTCTGTGTCTCCTCCTCTCCCTGTGTCTATCTCTGTGTGTCTCTCTCTGTGTCTCTCTCCTCCCTGTCTCTCTCTCCTCTCAGTCTTTCTCCCTTTCTTCCTCTCCTCTCTCTACCTCTGTCTCTCTCTGTGTCTCTGTCCTCCTTGTGTCTCTCTCCTCTCTGTGTCTCTCTCCCCTCTCTCCCTCTCCTCTCTCTGTCTCTGTCTCTCTGTGTGTCTCTCTCCCCTCCTCCTCTCCTCTCTCTGTGTCTCTCCCTTCTTTCTTTGTCTCCTCTCCTCTGTCAGTGTGTCTTTCTGTCTCTTCTCTGTCTCTCTCCCTCTCCTCCTTTCCTCCTGTCTCTCTCTGTCTATATCTCTCTCTGTATCTCTGTTTCTCTCTCCTCCCTGTCTTTCTCACCCTGATGGGGCCTGAGGCTGGGGCTGGGGTGGAGTGCAGCCCCTGGGGAGGGTCCAGCTCTCTTGACCTTGTTGGAGTCCCCCAGGGGACCAAGCTGGGGGGACTAATCTGACCAGGTAAGACCTTTCCCCAGAGCTTCCGGGCAGTGGCTGAGGACGAGGAGCAGATTCTGAGGCCTGGGGTGGGGCAGGACGTACATCCAGTCAGAAGCCCCCAGAAAGGAGGACCCAGGCGAGGTCGCCATGGAGACTGGGACAATGGACAGAGGTGAGCATGACAGGCCTGCTGGGTGGGGGCAGTGAGGGAAGGGTCTGGGCAGGGCCGAGTGCTGATTCCCCTTCTTCTCCCCCAGACTCTGCCCTCCTCCGAGAGATGAGCAGAGGTCAGCTTGAGGAAGGAGTGACCTCTGGGCTCCCAGCAGCACCCGGCTCCCTGGTGAGTGGACAGTCCTCGATGGAGTATGGGTCCCCTTGGGGTCCTCAAGCCCCTGCTCCAAAGTTTGATGGTTGCAGAGTCCACACATCCCTGCAACCGGGAGGGTGCTTGGGGGGTCAGCCAGCCGAGGGGGAAACCGAGGCACAGAGTGGTGATGCTGTCGGCCACCATTGGAAGGCAAGGGGGCTGTCTGGCAGTGCTGGATAGCAGGGATCTGTCATTGACTGTCAGCTCCATGAGGGCAGGGACCATGCATGGCCCCTTAGGGTCCCACCTAACACTGTGCACACAGTAGGCACTTCATAAGTGCCTTCCAGGGTCTTTGATGATGATGATGATGGGGCAAGCAAGAACATTTCACTATTCAGAGAACAACCAAAAAGAGAATTATCTAAGAAATCACAAACTTGTCTGCGCTCTTTTTGAAAAGCACAATCAATTTAACATCATAGTAACCAAATTCCTCTTTTGTGTCCTGAGTTTGTTCTTTTGCACACTTTTAATCATTTCTTGATTTTTCAATCATGTATCTTAATTTTGGCATACCACTAAAAAGGTTACTGTTTTGTAGAATAGTTTGAAATCTGATGTTTCTCAACCCCACTTTGTTCCTATCATTTTTTAATATTTCCTTGGACTTTCTTGACCACATCTTCCTCTAGATTAATTTTATTATTTTGTCAGGGCTTATAAATTATGCTCCTGTGTGGTAACCCTCAGTTGTTTGGTTTTTCACTCAATCTGTAAATTTAGGTAATAGCCTTTGTATGCTGTTGGCACAACCCGGCCACGAACAATGAGGATTTCTCTGTCTAGTCAAGTCTTCTTTATTTCTAAGAAGCATTTGATGGGGAAAAAAAAAAGGCCAAAAAAAGCTAAGTCCTTTCCCCAGAGCTGATTTCTGAGAGCCCATAGTCCACAGAGTGGGGCCAGCTTTCTAAGGGGCAGCTAGATGGTGCGGTGGAGAGAGCTGTGACCTTGGAGTCAGGAAGACCTGAGTTCAAATCTGGCCTCAGATACTTGGCAAGTCCTAGCTATGTGACCCTAGGCAAGTCACTTAACCCCAATTGCCTCACCAAAAAAAAAAAAAAAAGAAGCGTTTAATGAGTCTTGTGATACATGGATCCTCAAATTCTTTATACATATTAGAATTATTTTAAATGGAATTCCTTTTTCTTCTCTCTCCTACTGAGTTTTTTATTTTTTAATTTTTTAGTAACATAAAGAAAAGTTAATCATTTTGTGGGTTTATTTTATATTACTTATTGAAGCTATTGTTTCAATTAGCTTTTGGGGTTTTTTTAGTTGAATCTCTAGGTTTCTCTAAGTAAGGTGTCATATCTCCAAATGCTGATAGTTTTGTTTTGTTTTGTTTTTTGGTCCTTGCTTATGTTCATATCCCCTTTTTTTTTCTTTTTCTTGTCTGTTAGAGTTTGTTTTATTTCATATGGTAGTGGTGGTGGTGGTGGTGGAGGAAATATCTGCTTTAACCCTGTCCATATTGGAAAGGCCTCCAGTGTTTCTCCAATATAGGCAGTGCTTGGTTTTAGATAAACACTGTTTACCATCTCAAGAAAAAGTCTTGTTTATCCTTAAGCATTCTAGAATTTTTAACATTAATGAGTGTTTTAACAAAAACTTTCTGTATCTTGATATAATCATGTGACTTTTATTGTTTTTATTAGTAGGAACTATTATGCTTATAGTTTTCTGAACCAATTCTGTGTTTCTGATATGAGACCTTTTTGGTCAGTGAATAATCTTTAATATGTTGCTGTAGTTTCTTTGATGATATTTTATTCCATATTTTTACATTTGTATTCATGATACATGCTTGTCTACACATTTTCTTTTTCTGTTTTATCAGTCCCCATGTTGGGTATCAGGACTTTATTTGTGTCCTAGATCTCTAGGAGATGCCTTTTTTTTTATTTATTGAGCTAACATGCTATGTCAGAGTTCACTATTCTTCAAATGTTTGACATAATTCAATTGTAAATCCATCTGGACCTAGGGTTTTTTTGGGGGGGGGGGGCTTGTTCATTTTCTTTTCCTGAGAATGGGTTGTTTAAATTATCTGTTTTTAAAGTTATTTTTATTTGCATACAATAGGAAAAACATTTTTAGTGATTTTTCTGTATCTGGGGTTGTTTCTCCTTTTTTCATTTTTGGTTTTGTAAATTTGACTTTCCCTTTTTGTATTGGGTTAGCTAAATGGTCTTTTTTCTTTTGCTCTCTTAAAAAAGATCCCCTACTTTGATGTTAACTTCTTGTTTTACATTTTCTTCCTTCTTTGATTTTTCTAATTTCTCTTTTTGAGCTTATTTGGTGGTCTTGATTTGTTGATTTGAGTATTTTTAGTTGTGCATCCATTTCACTGATCCCTTATTTCCCTTGTTTATTGACGATAGTGTTCTTCTGTCAGGACTGCTTTGACCACATCCCCAAAGTCCTCATATGCCACTTCATTGTTGTCTTCTTTGACAAAATTATCTGTTGTTTCTGTGATTTGTTCTTTGACCCCTTCATTCATTCTTGGAGATTGGATTGCTTAGTCTCCATTTAGGTCTGAAGCTTTTCTTCAGACTTCCCTTCTTGTGATTTTTATCACGTGTGATCCACAAAAGGATGTCCATAACATTGCTGCTCTTCGGCAATGTAGATGAAGTTGTTTTTAGGCTGTGGTACACGCCCAGCTTTGGTGCTGTGTAATGTGGAGAAATGTGGCAGTCAGTGAGTCGATCAACAAGGACTATATGCCAGGCACTGTGTTAAGTGAACACTGGAGATACAAAGAAAGTCAGAAACATGACCTCCCACACCCCCAAGAGCTCACATTCACACTGGGGAGACAATATGCAGAAGTAGAGGTGGAGGTGGTGTCAATCAGATCTTAATTTGTGTTTCAGTAAAGTTGATTTTCTTTGGGGTCCTGTATAGTTTTATGTTGAAAGATCTGATGCTGAGAAGGGACCTGTGGGCTTCCTTCACTCGGCTGTCCAGGGGCTCCATGACACAAAAGAAAGTGGAGATTCAGATGGGTGCTGGAGCTGGTTTGTACTGGCCCTGGGGAGCCAATTGTTAAATTGTCGGTGGGAACATTGACCCCTCAGAAATCAGCCAGTGCTACAAATCAGGGCTTGATTTATGGTTTTGTTGCTTGCCTAGACTTAAGAGAGTGATGGAGAAAATGGGAATAGTTCAGGTATTAAACTTAAAAGTGCATCCTGCTACCAGAGAGCTGATTGTTAAACATTTTACCACCATACTTCTGGGTAAGAATCCCTGGTGTAAATGAGAGAAGTTAGGCACTGGGGTGAGTGGGAAGAGGATGGGGAGGGTAGTCAGTGGGGGAGAAGCATAGGAAAAACCTCCTGCAGAAGGTGGGATTCAAGATGTCTTTTTTTAATATATATTTTATTTCCCCCCCCCAATTACATGTTAAAACAAATTTTTAATGTTATTTTTTAAAGTTTTGAATTCCAAATTCTATTCCTTCCTCCTTCCCTTCTCCTTTCCCTGACATGGTAAGCAATTCCACATAGGTTATACATGTGTAATCATGTAAAACATTTCCATATTCATCATTTTGTACAAAAAGACACAAATAAAAGAAAAAGAATGAAAGAAAGAAAGTGAAAAATGACAAGCTTCAGTCTGTATTCAGTCAATAGAGGCAGAGAGCATATTTCATAACGAGGCCTTTGGGGTTGTCTTGGATCATTGCATTGCTGACAGGAGCTAAGTCATTCCCAGTTCTTCATTGTTACAGTGTTGCTGTTGCTGTGCACAATGTTCTTCTGGTTCTGTTCATTTCACTTTGCATCAGTTCATGTAAGTCTTTCCAGGTTTTTCTTAAATCACGAGATGTCTTTTTAAAACAATAGTTTATCTTGAGTCCACTTTGTGCATACTCTGTGTATGTGTGTGTGTGTGTGTGTGTGTATTCAATTAAAAGCACGTTTTTTTCTCTCCCTTTCCCCATTGGAGAAGAGAAAAGCAAACCTTGTCAGAAGCAGAGTCAGTGAAATCCCTTCAAGCTGCTGCCTCTGCCTCCCTGGGCTTCCTCATGAGTCCTCTCCATTGGGGCTGTTGTGTGTGCAGTTTGTCCCTGTGCCCCTTCCTTCCCTGGGTGCTGGTGCCCACAACATTGCAGGCTTCTCCCTTTCCCAGCGCATGGGGCCTGGTGGTACCATGGGAAGCTCTCAGCTTCTAGTTGTTTGCCAGCCCAGAAGAGCCGCCATCAATCTCTTTATACCTGTGGGCCTCGTGCCTTTCTGTATTACTGGCCCAGGGTCATGATGTTGGGGCAGCTGGTCCCAGCCACTTCCAGAAGGGCTCCCACATACAGCCCCACCAATGTTTATCATTGCCCTTTTTGGCCATCTGCCAATCAGATGGGCAGGAGGCGGACCCTGAGTTGCTCTAATTTGCATTTCTCTAATTATTAGTGACTTAGGACATCTTTTTTTTTTTTCATATGCCTGTTGGTAGCTTATTTCTTCCTTTGAAAAGTGCCTGTTCCTATACTTTGACCATTTATCATTTGGGGAATTTGAGGAAACCAGGAGTCAGAGATAAGAAGGGAGGGCATTCCAGGCATGAGGGGCAGCCAGTACAAAAACCCAAAGTCCGGAGATGAGGATAAATGCAAGTCAGGCAGTGAAGCTGGAGGGCGTGGCGGGGGTGGGCAGCAAATGAAGAAAGCTGGAAAGATGAGAAAGAGCGTTTTGTATTTGAACCAGGAAGTAATTTATTGAGAAAGAGGGCTGACATGGTCAGAGCCGCATATTAGGAAAATCACTTTGGAGGCCTAGTGGAGGCCAGAGGTCTTGTAATGGCTTCGGCATAAGGTGATGAGGCTGCACCAAAGGGCCATAGTGTGAATGGAGGCGCAGATGTGGAGGTAGAAATGACAAGATGGTGATGGATTAACTATATGGGGATAGTATGCAAGTGGTCTAGGGTGACACTGAGGCTTCTAGCCCGGGGCCTGGGAAGCTGGTGGTGCCTCCAACAGGAAGGGGAAAGTTTGGGGAGAAGAGAATGAGTTTTGTTGGGACATGTTGAGTCCTCTCTGAAATGCCGAAAAGGTGGCTGATGATGGCGGGGATGGAGCTCAGAAGGAAGACGGAGGGAGTCATCTTCGTCTTCATGGAGATGATGTGATTCTCAAAGAGGGTACCCATGATCAGGGGTCTCGAGCTGGCCCAGACAGCTTGACAGAGAACCGGCAGGAGAGGACATCAAGGAGCAGAGGGTGACCAAGAGGCCGGGGAGGGTTCGGTTTGAGAAGAGGCCATTAGATCAGACAATTAAGAGATTGCTGGTAACTGGGGAGGGCGGACACTTCAAAGAGAGGGAGAGGAGAAGTGGAGGCGCCTGGTGTAGACAGTGGGAGGAGGAGGTGAGACAAGGTGACTCCTGGCATGAATTGTCAGATGTGGGGGGGGGGCTGTTTGGGCAACTAGGAAGGAGCCAGAACCACTGAGTCGTGCCGGGAGGGACCTCAGCAGCCCAAGGACCCCTCCTCTCTCTGCTTCATGAACCACTGCCTCTCATGGCCGCCCCTTCCACTTCGGAAAAGCTGTTACTAAGAAGCTTTTCCTGACGTCCCCCTCAGAGTCTCCTCTTGGCCACTGACCCCCATTTCTTCTGGTTCTGCCCACAGGCTGCAGATGGAATAAGCCTGGCCCCTCCTCCACAGGGAGGCTTGCTTATCCCCCTGCTGACTCACTGAGCTTGTGGTCCACAAAAACCCTCAGATCTTTTTCAGGACTACTGCTCGCTAACTGGGCCTCCCCATCTTATACTTTTTTCTGTAAGACTTTATATTTATCCCTGTTGAATTTTGTCGACTCAATCCCCTGCTGTAGCCTGCCAAGATCTTTTCAGATCCTGACTCTGGCATCCAGTGTGTTTAGCTGCTGCCCCCAGCTTTGTGTTATCAGGAGACTGGATGAGTATACGGCCTAGGCCCAAATTATTGATCAAAAAAATGTCCATCAGGATAGGGCCAAGCAGAGACACACACCCCTGGAGACCTCTGGCCATACACCCAGGTCTGAATCCCTCTGGTTATCTTAGTGCCTGATCCCTAGTTCACCTTCTCCATTGGAATAATGAGAGCCCTCATAGCCAGCACTCAGCCAAAGTCCAGAGAGGTCCCATCTGCAGAGTTCCCCTCATCTGCTGATTTAGCCTCTGGTCAGAAAAGGGCACGAGGCTAATGTGACATCACTTGTTCTCCGTGGTTCTTTGTTCCCGGGCCTAGGAATCAGAGTCACGCTCCCTGGCCTGGTGTCAGCAGACTCTGTTCTCTTCCCCCTGTTCACCCCTGCTTTTTTTTTTAAGCTTTGGGACGTTTGTCCTCCTGCCCTCTGGTGGTCTCTGTTCCATTGGCTGTGGTCTCTCACACATCACAGCGAGTGGCTCAGCGACCACTTCTGCCAGCCTGTTCCAGACCCAAGGGTGCTCATGCGGGCCAGGCACCTGAAGTGGTTCCTCCAAAGTCTTTCTTCTTGGTTGTCCTCAGTATCACTTTTCAGTAGGGAAGAAGAGGCTGAAGCTCAGGGAGAGAGTCAGGGTGCTAACGGAGGCAGGCTTCTGGTGCAGGCTGGAGAGAACCTCACAAATCCCTTCAAGGAAGTAGAAAGGGGAGATCTCTTGGAGTAGTCTCTTCAAGCCTCACCCTGAAATGGGAGCGCTTTGTCTACGCAGCCCCTCTCTGTGATTCTTTGGATCCACTTGTTAACTCTATGCTGATGACCCCCATAATGACGCTGATCTCTGGAAGAGACCCCAGGGCCATGTGGGAAAGGAATCCCCATCCTAACACGTTCAGCCTTTTCTTGAAGGCATGAGAGGAAAGGAAGCGCACTGCCCTGGAGGCCGCTCCGAGAGTCCAAAGGTGATACTGAGCCAGAATTCTCCTCTGCTTCCACAGCCCCTCCAACAGGACACCCCACAGGCACCCACACTGCAACCTCCTCTGTCTGTCCCTGCCTCCTGCTCATCCCCCCTTGTCTGTGGAGAGTTCTCACCTCAAGTCCAACCTGGACCCTCTTCTCCCTGAACACATGGGAGCCCTGAGGTGGCCAAGGGAAGTAGTTCAGAGGGGGCAGAGGAGAGAGCCCAGGCCAGAACCTGGGGGGACATTCAGAGAAGTAGTGGCCAGGCAGGTGGGGCCTTATCAGAGGCTGCAGAGAGTGGTCCAGGGGCATGAGAGCCGAGGAAAGGCCATTGGTTGGATTTGGTAATTAAGAGAAGAAGGGTGGATGATGGGGTCGGAAAGCGTGGATGGTGCTCTCAAGAGTTTATAGCCAGGAAAGGGAGGAAGGATGATGGGGTTGGATGAGAGGGTCTGGAGTGGGCTGGAAGGTATCAAAACCAGGAAAGGGGGTGGGGAGGATGGCTTGTGGAAAACCAAAGCTATTGCAGGGGAGCCCATTTTAGATTAGGGACTGCTACTTTTTCTCTCCATGGAATTTCTGTTGAGAGAGTGTGACAGGCTCAGGGTGTACTGACATGTAGTGCTGGGCGTCCTGCCATCCCAGTTAGTCCTTTTCCTGCAGGGTTAAGAAGCTGTCCCCATGATTTGGTTGGCTTAGGATGAAGGCTCAAATAGGGCAGGGGCTTCCTGGAAACCTGAGGTGGTGCTGATCACCTAAGGGTCAGCCTTGGCTAATGCTGGCAGGCAACTGGAGTCACTGCCCTCTGCCCGACCATTCCTTAGTGTGTGGTCTTTCTGTGCCATGGCTAAGGAAACCTCCTTTTCCTAACTGGTGAAGGGCACCTGAGGGTCTGACCTAAGTCTGGTGCGGCATACCACAGAGCTGCTTGTAGAAGTCAGTGTTTTTGTGACTTTGGTCACACTTTGGGTCATGTGGGGGTAAAGAGGGCTCTTCTTCTGGGCACTCAATCAATGTTGGGCTTGGGGGAACCTGAGCTCAGTCCCCCTCTCTCTAGCCTGCCGCTTCTCTGAGGCTTCTCGGTGCATGGCAGGGGCTAGACTGTGGGTGACAGGTGTGTTTGGTGTTTCAGCCATCGCTGACCTTCCAGGATGTGGCTGTGGCCTTCAGCCAGGAGGAGTGGAGACGCCTGAACCCCGCTCAGAAGAGCCTGTACCGGGAGGTCATGCTGGAGAACTATTGGCACCTGGTCTTCCTGGGTAAGGAGCCTGGCTTCCTGCTGGCACATGGAACCTGCCCCTCCCAGCATCACTGTGGCCTTTCTCACCACAAGCTATGGCCTGTCCACACATGTGCTTAACTGAGTCTGGCCTTGGCCTCAGGCCTTACCTTTTCCATCCATGAGACTGTTTGTGTCCCTGTGGCCAGGTGGAGCTCTGCCACCAGAAACGGGCATCCTCCTTGGGCTGCCCCGCCTCAATTCTGTCCCCCAAGTGGAGCATTGTGCCCGAGTCCCCATGACAAACGCTTATTAAGTGCCTGCAGTAGGTGTGTAGCCCCACACTGGCTCCCTCAGGTCCCAGGACAGTGCCCAAGGCCTTGCCTCATCCCACCCCATGGGCACCGCCAGAGTGCCAGCCTCTCCCTAAAGAGGAGGGAGCTGGGATGGACTCAAGAGGGTGCTCCCACTTCTCTCCCCATGAGCAGGGCTTCCGGTTTCCAAACCAGAGCTGATCTCCCAGCTGGAGTGTGGGGGAGGCCCATGGATGCCGTTGGAGGAAGAACCAAGAAACCCCCATGCAGGTGAGGACACCGGGCAGGGGTGCTGTTGGCAGCGTGGGGTGGGGAGGCTCTTCTGGATCCCATCTTGACCTCCACAGCAGATTCTCAAGCCTCTCTCCCTTCATGTGCATCTCCAGGCGAGGTCTGTGGTCTTGGTGTTTGGAAACTGGACTCTCACCAGGGCCATGGGCAGCAGACATCCCTCCCTGCTCTTCCTGAGACAGAGGTCTTCCTTTTCTAGCATCCTGATCCGTGGGCTTTTCAGATCCTTTTCCAAGTGATTTAAAATATCCACATAAGTCCTGTCTTCTTAAAACAAACCAAAAAAATCCCAAGAGCCCTTGTTCTCAACCAGTCCCAGGATTTGAGAGATGAGACCTCTCTTCAGCTTATAATCTCCTCGATTCCACAATGTTCCCCCTTTCAGGGGTCTCTTGCCCCATCTGTTAATGTCTCACATGCACCCTCAGGCTCGCTCAGGCATGCCTCTGGGCTGTGCCTCCAGGATAGCATCTGAGCTCGCCCTCCCAGGCGCCCCAGCTGTCACGCTTCAGGCAGGCTTCTCTCTCCAAGGTCGCTCCCTGGCTCACCTGCCTGCTTTCTTCCTCTTTGGTTCGCTCGTTGTCCTCACTTCAGCCCTTGCCCTCAGACTTGGGGATTCCCACGTACATGTTGTTGCCCCCCGGGTCCCCTCCTAATGAGCGTGCCTGTCATCTCATCGTCCCACCCAAGTGTGAGGTCTCCCTGGTCCAGAATTCTGAAACTTCTCTGAGCTCTGGAAAAACCCCGTCGGTCAATCTGTGACTCTATCAGGCGCCTCTGGAGGCACGGAATAAAGAAAAGCCCCTCCCTGCCTTCAGTTAGAGGAGAAAACTTGGTGGTCTACAGGCAGAAAGTAAACATGAAGCCACCCATGAGCTACATCTTCAAGGAAGTCGTGGGAGGGCACACCAGGCAGGAGGCCTGCTAGGACCCAAGCATGAGATGGGGGTTGGAAGATCCTCTAAGGGTCGTCCAGACGGGCTTTTCTGGAGCTTACCGTGTGGAAAGGGCAGGATGATGGAATGAGAGTTTAGGGCCCAGTTATTATTCAGTCATTTCAGTCGTGTCCGACGCTTTGTGACCCTATCTGGGATTTTCCTGGCAAAAACAGAGAGGGGTTTGCTATTTCCTTCTCCAGCTCATTTTATACATGAGGAAAATGAGACGGATGGACAGAGTTAAGATTTATCTTTTTTTTTTTTTTGGTGAGGCAATCAGGATTAAGTGACTTGCTCAGGGTCACACAGCTAGTAAGTGTCATGTCTGAGGTTGGATTTGAACTCAAGTCCTCCTGACTCCAAGGCCAGAGCTTTATCCACTGTGCCACCTAGCTGCCCTGAAGATTTATCTTAATAGCTAGTAAGCGTTTGAACTCACAAAGATGTGTCTTCTGACTACGCCCAACACTCTGTGCTCTGTGGCACCCTCTACTGTAAAAGGCTTTAGATGCCGAGATGGAGTTAATAGTTGATTAGAAAGGGAGTTGGGAGGTTTGAATAGGGCAGATGATGTCTTTGGCAGCTATGGCAGGATAGACTGGGTTGGGCCGCTTCAGAAGAGCAAAAATGAGATGCTACTAGACATACCTTTTGGAGTGTCTGGTCCCGAACTGGCCATGAGGGACTGAAGCTGCGGCCAGAAATACCAGTTGTGGAGTCACCTGCATTGAGGCGATTGAGCCCACAGAAGCCAAGGCCACCACCATGACTGGCTCAGCCATCCTTATCATGACCTGCAGTCACTCTCCTCAGCAGGCGCGACTACTCAAGTGGTCTAGACTGTCCTCTGCTCTAGAATCCCTTCCACCACTGCTCATGCTTTTCCAAAACCCAGGCCTCTGTGATCTGCGCTGGAGAAAGCCATCCAGGCCCACTGAATGGGTCCGCTACAGATCCATGGTGTCCAGTCTTAACACAGAGCAGTGTTCTTATTCTTCCCTAACAGAGTAATTCCACAGCTTCTCCTCTCCTCAAGCCTCTCACACCACTTCTCCCCTCCCTCTGAGCAACTCTTGGAGTATCTGATCAAGGAGCATTCTTTATAGAGTTGGCTTTTCCTGAGTGCATCGTTAGGCTGAACTCTGTAGTGATTGTGGATCTCTTTTAGGAGACTCTGTGATAGCAACCAGCCTTGATTAAATACATGCGTATGAGGTGCTTGCTGCCACCCACACAGTGTCCTGTGCCAACCCCAGTATCTGAAGGACCTTCCCATCTTTAGGAAACCTTCTCCCATTAGGCCTGTTTGTTGGATGCCCCCTAAGATGGTGGCAGAAGCATTCGGCAATCACCCAGCTCCCGCGTTGTGCCTCATCAGACCTGAGGAATCAGAGAGCTGCTGAACAGAATCTGTTACATCTTGCAGAGGATCTTGGGTCATTTGAATGGGAGGGGGGCCTGGCATTGGCATTTTGCTGTATCAAATTGAATTTTTTATACTTAGCAAAATGAGCTTTGTATTCACTCTCTCTTTGTAGTCAGTTTTTTGATAGCAAATGCCAAGCACTGCTATTGATAAGTGATTAGCAGAGCCTGCCTGTCCTCTCTTCTTCCTAAGGAACGCCTTCAAGGCATGTTTGGGAGGGATGGGGAGGCCATGTAGGGAAGGCAGTTGGTGATGATGTCCAGCTTTTCCCTCTATTTTTATCTTCCCCATAAGTTGTCCTTCAGTGCCCTCCCAATCTGGTCACCTCCAGTGGACATCTCATCTGTGTGCCTTTGGGCAGGGCCAACAACTCTTCACGTGTTTGTCTTCACCACTGTTTCTGCGGCCTTCTCAGCCCATGGGAAACCACGGTGTTCCAAGGGCAAATGTCCTTGATAGGGAAAAGATTTTGTTATCAGATTTCACATTGGCCTTTCCTTTTTTTCCTCCTGTTGCTCTCCCTCCAGTTTCATTCTTAAATCCTCAGAACTTTGCTTGGTAAAGTTCTTGTTCTAAACCAGTGTTAGCCTGAGCTGCCTTGTCTCTCACCCTGCTAGGGAGGTCAAGTCTTTGCTGGCTCTGGAGCTTTCTAGGCTCATGGGTTCTTCCTTTTGGCAGTTGGTTTATTTTGGAAATGTTTATCTAGGAATGTTGTTAGTCTGTGTTGGTGTCCATTTCTCCAACTCTTGCCCATTTTTTGGTACCAAAAGCTTTTAAAAATAGGTCAGATTGAAGTTGTTCTAACTGCCCATCATGTCTTTTTCTCACTTTTATTCTTCTAATTTTGTATCAGTTGTAGTTTTTGCTCTAAGAACTTGGTGATCTTACTGTGCACACCTGGCTTTGGAATGACCCACATGAGTAATGGGTCATTTCCTGTCTGTTACATGTGATCAGCTTTATTTTCCTGCTTGCCATGTTCAGGGTCGCCAGGATTTTTTTTCACAGAAAGTAGTCGTACTATGTAGGCATGAGGCTTCTTTGCAGGTCATAGGCCTCTGGCCTCTTCTGTTTCTTTGAAAGCATATTTTCTAACATTTTTTTGCTGCCTCCTATATAACTACCCTTGCTTAGAGATGACTAAGTAGCAAATTATATATTTATATTGGTTTAATTTGGAGTGGCTTATTGAGTTCTTCACAGAATATTCCACTTCCTCATAATTTGCAACTGATATTTGCACAGAAATTGGAATTATTTTCCTGGTAGTCTTTTTGCAAATATGAGCACTACAGTATGAGGTGACCAAATGTCCCAAGAAGTATTCTTTGTTGCCTATGAATGCACAATAAAGCCAACTCCTCTAGCTCCCTTATTTAATTGTTCTTGGAGGGGGATTCTTAATTTGGGAACTGTCAACCTGGCTTTTAAAAAAATATTTCATTAACTATTTCATTACATTTGGTTTCTTCTGTAAACCTATGTGTTTGTTTTTATCTGCATTTAAAAACATGATTCTAGAAAAAATGTTTTACATGTTACCAGTTTTATTTTTGTATTTCATTTTATGGGTTATTTTATAATTGCCATGTTAAAAAAAGTACATATAATGAGAATTAATGTTTTGTTGTGAAGAATTATATGCAGAATAGCATATTTTCAGTAATCTCTAGTGAAAGATTATAGTTTTTGGTGGTTATGGAAATCTAACTCCCTATTTTCTATAGCTTTGATGTATCAAAATTAGCATTTTTAACTTTCATGCCATTTTTGAGGAACATCACTCCCACAAAGTTGAAGATTGATTTTATGTGTATGCATGTATATTTATGTGTGTGTGTATATTCATATATGTTATGTACCTTTTACTGCCTTCTTATCAAAACCAAAAGAAAACAATAGCAACACAACAAAAATAACAGTAAAAAACTCCAAAAATAATAATTAAAAAAAAAAACATGGTTCTAAGAAGGGGTCCATAGACATCACCAGACTACCAAAGGGAGCCATGACACACAAAATAGATTAAGAACCCCTATTCTAGGAGACCTCGTGGGCCATTTTTCCATTTGTCCACAACTTCCTTTTGTCCTTTGGTTTCTTTTATAGCAACAATGTGGGGATTGGTATGATTTAGTTCCTGCAGTAAGTTTACTTATTGGTCATTGAATGAGGATCTCACATTTGGAATACAACTAGCTAAATTATTGTTTGTAGATCATCTTACAACTCTGATTCTTAACATCCTCTGTGCCCCTTTACTCTTCCACTGCCAATGCAGAGGAGGAAGGAGCCACAGAGAGCTGAGGTCCCTTTTGTTCTTTTATCACCAAGTGGACAATCTGCTGGTGGCCAGGCACTCTGTACCCAACTTGGCTGCTCCTAAGGAAGCAGGTGTGATTTGTGGCCAGGGCCATACTCAAAGCCTTCCCAGCGTGATGAACCAGACAGGGCTTGCCCTCTGCTCACTTCACGTGACTAATGTCTTGTAATGAGACTTCACAGACTCTTGATTCCATATCTATCTCTCTGTTGTTGTGCCTTTATTTTCTGCAAACTGAAGTATAGAATACTAGCAAACATATCATTTTGCCTCTGTTCAGAGGGCAGCAGAGAGATTGGTTCAGAAATTTGAGAGCAGGCAAAATACCTTGTGAAGGAAATACATTGAGCATGGGCTGACCTAGGAATTCCATCCCTTCCAAAACAGAGACAAAAGCTTCTTCTCCTTCCACAAGCAGTCAAAACATTCCCACCTCCTGCCCACCACTGCCTCCCAATCCCTGCTCCAGCACATTGCTGTAAGAGATGCTACCTTGGCATCCTCCAGATTGACTGGAAAAATACCAGGTTGAGTAAGGCCCAGGTATTCAGCATGTCTCATGACCCTTGGAAGTCTGTGAAACAAACAGTGAGTATTTGCAGCTATTTCCTTTCTCACAGTACTGGCAGTAAGGTATTTACATTTTTTCTTTTTCTTACAGACCAAAATAGTAGTCCGAAGACAAAGAAGACAGTTCTAAAGCAAGGCATTTTGGTGGGAAAATCATCTCAGGAAAGACTCTCAAGAGATCATCGCAAGGATTTTAAGTTTGGAGAAGTTGGCAATTATGGCCAGAGGTTTAACAGGCATCAGGACAACTGGAAGAGAGACTTAAGGCAAGGAAAGATTTCTAAGAAGTCAAGAGAGCGTGAATGTTTATTTAGGAAAAATTTCCATCAAAGATCAGTCCTTGAAATACAAAGGAATGTTCCTTCAGAACAGAGTCTCCCTAAATATGATACACATGGAAATAGCTTTAAATTGTCTTCAAACCTGAATAATTATAATGGAATCTCCTCAGGAAGGAAACCTCATATGATTAATGCTTGCAGCAAGGCCTTCAGTTACCATTCAGACCTTATTCAATATCACAGGGTAGCCACTAGAGAAAAACCCTATACATTTGATGAATTTGGCAAAGCCTTTCAGCAGAGGCGACACCTTACTCGACATCACAGAATTCGACCTGGAGATAAACCATATACATGTACAGAATGTGGAAAAACCTTCAGTCGTATTCCCTACCTTATGCTGCATCAGAGAATTCATACTGGAGAGAAGCCCTATAAATGTAAGGTATGTGAAAAAGCCTTTTGCCAAAGAGGACATCTCACTGAACATCAGAGAATTCATACTGGAGAGAAGCCCTATAAATGTAACATATGTGAAAAAGCATTCACTCAGAGTGGACATCTTACTGAACATCAAAAAATTCATAATGGAGAAAAACCCTACAAATGTAGTGAATGTGGAAAAACCTTTAGCAATAAATCATCCCTTATTCTACATCGCAGATTTCATACTGGAGAGAAACCATATAAATGTTATGAATGTGGGAAAGGTTTCACCAACAGCTCAGTCCTTATTGTACACCAAAGAATTCACACTGGAACCAAACCATATAAATGTCATGATTGTGGGAAGGCCTTCCTTCAGTACATAGGACTTGTGGTACATCAGAGAATTCATACTGGAGAGAAACCTTATAAATGTCACATATGTGAAAAAGCCTTCAGCCAAAGTGGGCATCTCAGTGAGCATCATAAAAGTCACAATGGAGAAAAACCCTATGAGTGTAATGAGTGTGGAAGAGCCTTCAGCAATACCTCATCCCTTATTCTGCATCACAGAATTCATACTGGAGAGAAACCTTACAAATGTAATGACTGCGGGAAAGCTTTTAGTAACAGCTCAGTTCTTACTGTACATCAAAGAATTCATACAGGATCAAAACCCTATAAATGTCTTGAATGTGGGAAGGCCTTTCTCCAGTGTATAGGTCTTATTGTACATCGGAGAACTCATACTGGAGAGAAACCTTATAAATGTAACGTATGTAAAAAAGCCTTCAGTCAAAGGGGACACCTTACTCAACATCTGAAAATTCATAATGGAGAGAAGCCGTACAAATGCAGTGAGTGTGGAAAAGCTTTCACCCAGAGAGGACATCTTACTGAACATCGGAGAACCCACAGTGGGGAGAAACCGTTTATGTGTAATGAATGTGGTAAAGCTTTTAGCAACCACTCACACCTCACTCTCCATCACAGAATTCATACTGGAGAGAAGCCCTATAAATGTAGTGAGTGTGGGAAAGCTTTCAGTCAAAGGGGTCACCTCACTGAACACCAAAGAATTCATACTGGGGAGAAGCCTTACAAATGTAACGAATGCAGTAAAGCCTTCAGCAGCCGTTCACGGCTTACACTACATCATAGAATTCATACTACAGAGAAGCCCCATAAACGTCGTGAACGTAAAAAAGCTATCCCCCATGGTGTAGACCTTCCTCAATGTCAGAGAATTAAAACTGGGGGGAAATGTTATAAATGTACTGAATGTAGCAAAGCATTCCGAAGTAGCTCTTCCCTAGCTCTTCATCAGAGAATTCATAGTGGAGAAAAACCCTATGCATGTAGTGAGTGTGGAAAAGCATTTAGTCGGAGAATATACCTTACTAAACACCAGAGACTTCATAATGGAGTGAAAACTTGTAAATGTAGTGCATGTGGTAAGAGTAGTACTCAGTGTACTTGTCTTATTCAACATCAGACAATTCATTCTAGAGAGGCACCTTCAACGTCTAGTGATTATTCAGAAGCCTTCAGTAATAGCTCATCTCATATTCCACATCCCAGAAGTCATAGTAGAAAGAAATCCTATGAATGTTATGAATGTGGGAAGCCTTTCAGCAGTCGTGCAGGCCTTATTGTACATCTGAGAATTCATACAGGAGAGAAACCCTACAAATGTAACACATGTGAAAAAGCCTTCAGCCAGAGAGGGCATCTTACTGAACATCAAAAAATTCATAATGGAGAGAAACCCTATAAATGTAGTGAATGTGGAAAAGCCTTCAGCCGGAGAATGTACCTTACTCAGCATCAGAGAATTCACACTGGAGTTAAACCTTATATATGTAACATATGTGGTAAAGCCTTCACCCAATCTTCAGGCCTTACACAACATCAGATAATTCATTCTAGAGAGAAACTCTACAAGTGTAGTGAATGTGGAAAAGCCTTCAGTAACAGCTCATCACTTAACCTACATCAGCAAATACATGTGGAAGAGAAACCCTATAAATGTAATGACTGTGGAAAAATTTTCAGTGATCAGTCATCTCTTAATCTACATCAGAGAACTCATACTGAAGAGAAACCCTATATATGTAATGAATGTGGAAAAATCTTTAGCAACAATTCATCCCTTGGTCTACATCAGAAAATTCATACTGTGGACAAGCCCTATAAATGTAATGAATGTGGGAAAGCCTTTAGGCAGCAGGGAGGTCTTGCTCAGCATCAAAAAATTCATAATGGAGAGAAACCGTATAAATGTAATGAATGTGGGAAAGCCTTCATTTATAGTATGCAACTCACTCGACACATGAGAACTCATACTGGGGAGAAGCCCTATAAATGTAGTGAATGTTCCAAAGCTTTCAGTGAAAGCTCATCCCTTATTATACATCAGAGAATTCATTCTGGAGAAAAGCCATATAGATGTAATGGATGTGGGAAAGTCTTCAGTGCACAGGGAAGCCTTACAAATCATCAGAGAATTCATACTGGAGAGAAACCATATAACTGCAATGAATGTGGGAAATCTTTCAGCTCCAGCTCATCACTTGCGAGACATAAAAGAACTCACACTGGGGAGAAGCCCCATAGATGTCTTGAATGTGGAAAAGCCTTCACTCACAGGTCATCTTTTACTGTACATCAGAGAATTCATACTGGAGAGAAACCCTACAAATGTAGTGAGTGTGGAAAGGCTTTCAATGAGGGAAGAGGGCTTCTTCAACATCAGAGAATTCACACTGAAAAGAAACTCTAGAAGTTCAGTGCTTATGGGATAACCTTCCCCTAATGGGAAAACTATTTAGCATCCAAAAATTCGTGCTTAACAGAAATATTACAAATAAGATGCATGTGGAAAGGCCATGTGGATTAATTCAGGCATCAGAGACTTCACAAAAGAGGTGAACTCTCGGTATTAATACCAAGAAGCTTAAGACTTGTTAACTTATATATCTGAGAATCGTGATAACTAATTTTTCATTTGGAAGTTGAGAGGAAGAAAAGGTTTTCCCAGACATTTGCCTCTTCTCTACAACACACCTGGGAGCATTACACTTCCATAAGTCCAAATAAGAGGTTCACAGGTGTGAGACCTAGCGGCTCTTAGGCTCTGAGCTTTCTTGGACAGGAAAAAAGGAATCTGTTCCTTAAAATATTTTAGAGAGGGAACAGAGGAAATAGAAAGGTGCTGATAACCAGAATTTCCACTGAGATATTTATAAGCAGCTCTATTAATTGTGAGCACCCCTTCACATAGTTTTTATTGATGTGTATCTGACAGTTCTCAATGGTCCATCCTCATGAGACCCGATTGATAGCTTGTTCATTGGAATCTAAAAGAAGATTGGGTGTGTGTGGATGTGAATCTTATAATTTGGGGGTATGTAGACGTAGGCTGGTGGGAAGTTGTTCCAGAAAAACAGAAACTGATTCACCCGAAGGTCATCGGTGTTTGTCCACCTCTTCATGGAAATGTGGGATCTGGCAGTTATTTAACAGTGACTATGGAGAGGAAACCAATGAGACAGAAACAGTCATTCTGGGTTCCTGGGGCATTCTCCATCTCAAAGTTTTCGGTGTCCTTGTGCATAGTTCTCCACAGAATCCTTCCCTGCTCTAGGCTTTCAAATTACATCACATCTCCCAGTCCCATTTCTTCTCTGCATCTTAGAATGCATCTGCATTCCTAATTAGGGTAACTGAAATTGGGACATGCCTCATATCTCTCCGGGCAATGTGAGTCAGTTGGGCTGAAGGAATCTGTCATTGGTGATGTTTTGGGTTCCACCTTAGATTTCAGGCTTTCAGGGGAGATCTTTTGAGTTAATAGTTCTTATTTTAAGTTGTAATACCACCTATGTAGAAGGGCAGCCTGAGTATCGAACAGCAGTGGAGAAGGGTAATGCGCTTTCCTCAGGGCCCTTCAGGGACACTGCATGAGACAGCTGTAAAGAGGAGAGTTATGGGGGCAGCTGGGTGACACAGTGGATAGAGCACCAGCCCTGGAGTCAGGAGGACCTGAGTTCAAATCCGGCCTCAGACCAAACACTTGACACTTACTAGCAGTGTGACCCTGGGCAAGTCACTTAACCCCAATTGCCTTAAAAAAAAAAAAAGAGGAGAGTTGTTAGGGCGGTGGCAGAAAAGAGAGGCAGTTGGGGAGCATGGGGAACTTTGTGAGGAGACCACCCTGGGAAGCTCAGATGTTCTTTCCAGCTCCCACAGTGGGAAGGAGGAGTTGACTTCTGTTCCATTGCCCCATCTGTGCTAGAGCTTCAGGCTCAGGCTTCTTGGTCACGCAGTTCTCATGTGTCTCTGGCCCTGGCTGAAGCACCTTTGGGTGACAAAGACAGGACCAGCAGCCCTTCCCTGTCCTCTAGAAGTTTCTCAAACTTTATAACTAGGGGCACCAATGAATGTTTAATGGAAGAGAGCATGTCAGGGAATGTGGTGCTTTCCAGGGACAACAGGCCTTTGGGGGAGGGGGCAGAATCATTGGGCAGCCAAACAGGAGGACTCTCAGCCTCTAGGGAATTCAGAGACAGTACGGCATCTGAATTATAACTCCTGTGTGTCTGACTTTAATTGGTTTTTATAAATGTCTTTTGTTTTCCCGTTCTTCAGTCATTTCCAAACCCAACTGAGCCTTTCTTGTAACAAAGAGAAACACGAGACCAATGATAACTCAAATAGTATGTTTTACATATTTGTATACATGCATATACATGTATGTATGTATTTATACACACACACACATACAGTATATACCGTGACATTCCATGCCTGCAGGTCCCTGCCTTTCTACTAAAAGGGGAGAGGTTGATTGTGGTTTTTCAAAGTTCACCTTTCTTTTAGGTTTTTTTTTTTATATTTACATTACTGTTGTCACCATATGCTTTATTCTTCTGATTCTGTTTCCTTTACCCTTAGTCCATTCATAACAGTTATTCTTATGTTTCTGTATTCCATGTATTTTTAATTTCTTAGATCACAGTACTATTCCCTTACATTCATATAGCACAGTGTGTTTAGCTCTTCCCCAATCAAATACCCTGTTTGTTTTCATCTCTTTGCTACTATAAAAAGTGCTACTGTGCCCTTTAGTGTCTATGGAGCCTTCTGCCGCGGACCTCCCTGGGGGTCTATGCCCAGCATTGGGATTACCGGATCAAAGGATGTGAACCATTCAGACTTTCCTTGGATAATTCCACTTCTAGAAAACCGGACTAGTTCACACCACAGTGTCTGAGTGTGCATGTCATTAGCTTCCATTCCTTTGTCCAGGCCCTGGCACATGCCTGATTGTGAATAGAATAAAAATGGCATTCACAGGTCAGCGAGGGAAGTACTGCAGATGTTATCTCCATCTCTCTGAGGGAGAGGATCCATCCAGGTGATACAGCTAATACAGGCCAGAGGCAGGTCAGGACCTAATCCCTGGTCTACTGCTGCTGAGCTACTTCTGGGTGGTCCAGATGTGACTGCTGCATGGAGGGGTTGAAAGGGAGGGACAGATGTCACCCTTGCTCTGCCCACCTAGGTGGTAGTTCACAGTGGGTCCAAGATGCCAGGTTCTCACCTACTTTACACAGCTCTGCAATGTGCTTCAGGGCAGCCAGGCAGTGTGGTGGGTAGAGCACTAGACCTGGAGTCGAGAAGACCTGAATTTAAATCCAGTCTCAGATACCTATGAGATGCGTGAGGCTGAGCAAGTCACTTAGCATCTTTGCTCTACTGTAAAATATAGATGGTAAGAGCACCTTCCTCCCGGGGTTGTTGTGAGGATCAAATGCGGTAATACTTGTAAAGCGCTTGGCACATGTTGGCCATGTTAACATGCCTGGCACGTAGTAGCTGCTGTATAGATGCTTAATCCTTTCCCTTCTCTGCCTTCCAGTGGGGAGAGCACTTGAAGGTCGATACATGGAGATCTTTTGTACTAGACCCATGGAAACACCAATATTCAATGCTAGCCCCTTGGCCTGCAGAGAAGAGGACAGACAATGTCAAAGAATCATATAAAGAACCACGGTGACCACATGGTCCAACCCCCTCCGTATATAGACAAGGAAACTTAAAGCTGGATGTTAAGTACCTCACGCAAGGTCACACGTTAAATAGCTGAGTGTCTGACGCCAAACCTAGCCCTCTTTCTACAATACTCATCCAAATACCATATGAGAAGCAGACAGAGTACCTAAAGGGGCCCAGAAACTATTTCCTAGGATGTGGGAGAACAGCTTAGGCAGCTCCCATTGACAAAAGGAATGAACTCATTTGTACCTCCTTACAGAAGGGGAAAAAGGGGAATTTTGGCTTCTCGCAGATCCGTACAGAAAGGACCTGTTCCCACTATATAAAATACAGTTGGGTCATGCCCATGTCATTGAGCTGCCCTAGTCACATACCTTCCCTGGCACCCAAGTGGAGGTGTTAGCATGCTGCCTTGGTTGTACTTTTCCCTTTTTGCCCCCACCCTTGGACATCTCAAAGTCTCTGTTGTGAGAGTTAAAATGTGCTGTAATAAATGGCCTGTTGCTTTAAGGATTACTAACTTGTCTTGTTCTTGTAGGAAACTTGTGAGTTTCTAAGTGGGAACATCTTCCTTGCTTTCCAGAGAGAAGACAGGGTTCGTGGGGCTTTAGTCTACTTACTGTGACTATCAGCCAATTCCTTCCCTACTGCCCCCCCCAATTTATTCACATGATTAAGTATACTGGAATTACTAGTTGGTCAAAAGGCATTTACTATTAGGCGCTTACAACGTTCCATGCACTGTGCCAAGTTCCGGGGGTGCAAAGAAAGACAAAAACTGCCTTTGAGAAGTTCATGTTTTAGTGGAAGAGACATTAACCCTAATCCTAATTCACATATGAGAAATGTACAGTGTAACTAAAAGCTAATCTCAGAGAAAAGGCCTGTGGAGTCTATATACATATATAAGCAGTCTCTTGAAGGAGTCATGGAGCCGAGGGACCAAAGCATTCCAGGCATAGAGGACAGCTAGAGTCAGGAGATGGAGTGTTGGGGGCAGGGAACTGCAAGTCATCGTATAGCTGAGTTGTAGAGTTTGCAAAGAGACTGGAAATGTAGGGAGGGGTCAGATTGTGAGACAAAAGGATTTTATATTAATCCTAGAGGTCATCAGGAGCCATCAGAGTTTACTGAATAGGAGGGAAATGGTATGATATGGTCAGATCTGAACTTTAGGAAAATCACTTTGGTACCTGGGTGGTGGCGGATTGGATGGAGGAGCGACAAAGCAGGGAAACCATTGAGAAGTCTAGGAGAGTAAAACAGGGAAGACATGATGAGAGTTGTGTCAATGGAGGGAAAGGACTGGATAGGAGAATAGGAGAGATATGATGGTGGAAGCTACAAGATGACAACAGACGATATGTGCAGTGAGTGGAGGATGATGGCGTTTCAAGCCTACATGACTGGAAGGGTGCTAGTGTCTGCCATGGTGACAGAAAAGCTGGGGGAAGGGAAGGGCAAAGATTAGTTTAGGTTGGGACGTGTTAAGTTTGAGATGTCCACCAGACGTCCAGTTTGACATGTCTAAAAGGCAATTGGTGATTGGAGGCTGGAGGTGAGGAGAGAGGTTAGGACTGGATAAATGAATCAGAATCATCTACACAAAGATGATAATTGAACCTATGGGAGCTGATGAGATAGCAGGTGAGAGAGAAGTGAGTCCAAGACAACCTTGGGAAATACCCACATGTAGGAGATGCCTGGGAATACACTCCACTGCCTGCACTCCTATAGAGTTTATAGGCCTTTATTCAGTATAACAAACATTAAGCACCTACTGTGTGCAAGGCAACCAGCACAGAAATTCAAAGATCCTGCAAGACCATAAGAACTTCTGTTTGAATGGCAGGAGATAACAAAGGGAAATGGAGGTGAGTCACAAGGCAGATGACAAGATGTTCATGGGGATGGAGATGAAACGTGGTCTTCAGCTAGTTGGATTGTAGTGGGTGGAGTGGATTTGCTTTCACCCACTCACCAAACTCCAGACAGCTCTGGTCCTAGGCAGAGTTCCAAAACTGAGGGCATGAGCTCCCCCAGGGAGAAGGGCATTATCTCTGGACCCGAGGTTGGGGAGAAGGAAGGGCAGAGTCAAGGCTGGTGGCTAGATAGACAATAATGAATAGGTGGGTTTTACACTCACTCTTGCTGAGAAGCAAAGGATAGGAGGCTAACAAGATATTAAACATAGGACAGGAGTTTATGTAACCCATGAGAAAACACAAAGGACTCAGGTGATTGTATAAACATTCAAGTTAAGGTCCCTTCTCTCTCTGGTATCTCAAGGACCCGTCCATTTTTCCAGGCTTATGGTGTTACCCTGGGTGGGACGCTCCACAAGAGGGATAATACTGGAGCTTGCTACTAGAATCTAGGAAAATTCCTCTTTAGTGGGACTCATTCTAGACAATTAGTTACTCAATAACTAGAGTGCTGAATATGGAGCCAGGAAGACCTGCCTCAGACATTTACCTGGGACCCTGGGAAAGTTTGCCTCAGTTTCCTTATCTGTAAAACAGGCATAATAATCACACCTACTGCACAGGGTTGTGTTTTATGAGAATGAAATAATATAGGTACAGCACTTTGCAACCTCAAAGAACTAGTGGATGGAGGTCCTCTATTTTCAGAGCTTGACGCCTGATGAAGCTATCCATGACCAGGTGAGTCACCCTTCTTCCTTCAGTGACCTTGTCAGAACCCCGCAGATGAGGATGGATACTGTGGTTTTGATGTACAACTGGTACAATTCCCACAGGGTACAAGAGCAAAGCCCATCTATCCATGCTAATAGAAGGGAGCATGAGCTGAATCACGGCCTCTCTGAGATGGAGGCTGGGACCTCCAGTGGTCCCCTACTCCACCCACAGGGCTAACCTGGGGTCCTGCAGGGAGGGGGAGATGGCAGCATCCTGGGGCAGCCCACACCACTCTGGGCAGAGGAAGCCAAAGATTGGTGCTAGCTAGATGTGGGGAATGTGCAATATGGTGATGCCTATA